CGCAGGAGCGCCGCTACCTGAGCAGCGGCGCTCGGCTCGGCCACTCGGGTTTGCGGGGTTTGGGGGGTGTGGTAACAAGGCGCAGGTCAGGCTGGTCTAAAAGGAAAAAACCCATGGCGATTGATCAACAGGTCCTATAAGTTCCCAACAGGTCCTATAAGTTCCCGTTAAGTGGATCATAACCAGGGTTTAGCAACCACCTACTGGGTAGCGGCAACACATAATGGTGGTCTGCTCACCATGGATATTACAACCGCTTGCCTGATGTACCCTGAGTTGATGACCATTTTAAGTGGTGGTTGATCAAAAGGTCCGACTTGTCATGGGATGACCACATGGGGGAAACCGCGAAAAAGATATGAATGTTCAACCACTAAATGGGAAAACTTAGATATAATCATTTGGGAACCGAAGGGAAGATTGATCAACCTTTAAATCGGTGCGTCTCAAAATTAGTGAGCTAGGGTAAACCGCAGGTTCTTGTCTTTGTTTCCATTTAAATTTACCGATTGGTGCCATGCTACATTGTTTTTGAGCCACAGCCAAATGGGGTGCATCTGTTCTACTTCAAGGGGCGATCGGGTACCTCAGGTAAGTGGTTAGTAAGCATGCCTGTGTAGAACTCACTAAAGAGAGACTTGGAAGCATGGTAAGTGAGGTATAACGATGGTTGTTACCCACTTGCCTGACGTGCAATGCCCCTTTGTCTAGGGGACCCCCAAAATGGTGGGGGTTCCCTTTGCTTTCCCTATAAAACAAATCCAAACTGGGATACCCCTAACAAAAGACAGAAACAAATGGAAAGCTTCTTGAGGTTCCATTCAAAGACTGGCCCACCGCATGTTCTTCCACTGGCCAGCGGCAAATGCACAGAAATGCTCGAAGTAGACTCGGTCTGACGACAACGACTGATACTGCATCTTGCTATGAACGCAAGTGAGAGATTTTGATATTCATACCAGTACAGGGCAACAGCTTCAATTATCTAAGGGCTTTGGCTTTGCCCCTTTTCCCCTTTCTCTTTCTCTCTCTCCCTCTCTTTCGTTTTTGCCTCCTCTTCCTCTTCTTTCCCTTTGTTTTCCTCTCTTCCTCTGTCTCTTTCCATTTCTCTTCCTCTTCCTCTTTCCCTTGCTCTTTCCCTTTCTCTTTCATCCGCTTTCCCCTTCTCCTGTGTCTCTTACGCTTTCTCTGCTTCTTTCTCTTCCTCGTTTGCCTTTCTCTCTCTCTCTCTCTCTCCCCCTCTCTCTCTCTCTCACTCTCTCTCTCTCTCTCACTCTCTCTCTCTCTCTCTCTCTCCGCCTCTCTTGTTTGCTTTCTCTCTCTCTCTCTCTCTCTCTATCCACCCCACAAAAGTGAACAATGAAAAAAGGAATAAAACGCGCGTTACTGAAGGTTCCGCCCACAACAAGCCGAATTCAGGTGCAGGGCCACGTGTTCTGCCCGCTTCTATTCTTGTTAAACTTCCTTTCATCAAGACTTCTTCATCTTCACCGATCCCATAGCTCCTTTGGGCCGAGATTTGTTGTTTGGGGATTGATGGGATTGAACCCTTGGTTCTTGCAGGCAATTGGGAAACCACCCCTGACCTCCAAACCACCAAACCACTCAAAGGGAAGCTGAAAAGATTGCCAACTGTCCGATCAGAATCATTTTTGGCTACCCTTCTGGGTCATTGGAATTATCTCATAACCATGGCTTTTGTGGAATGCTTTGCCAGGCTTAACCACTGGGTACCCTTTCTCGCCCCAAAAAAGCGCTACCCTTCAACCTTTTTTGTGTGTGGATTCAGTCTTACTCTCCACGAAGTATCTTTTTTCTCCCCCCTAGCAAAACCGCTCATCTTACGAAGCCCTCGACGCATTTTCTGTTCGAAGGTCTCAAGTCCAAACTGGGCTGCCCTCAGATCCCCCGCTCAAAGTTTCATATATATTTTTTCCGGAAACTGCCACTAGACACTAAACAGCTCAAAGAAGAACTTGTGGTGGTTGTTGTTTTTTTTCCGGAAACTGCCACTAGACGAGCTAGGCAAAAGCAGCCTTCGGAACCGCTCAGGAACCGCTCGGGAGCCAACGCCGAGCCGCGATTTCGTCCACCAGCTCCTGCTCCCCGTCCACCCGGCTGAAGGCCGCCGGCCATCCCATCGCCCAGGCCGGCCAGAGGTTGGGCGCGAGGGGAAACGAAACGAAGGGCCGGGGGGGGGGGGGGGCCGGGGGGGGTGGACTTTTTTTTGGTGGTTCCGAGGGGGGTAGGGGAAAAAAGCCCGGGCCGGGGGGTGGATTTGCTTTTTTCGGAGTGAGATAGGGAAAAAAGCCGGGGGGAGGGGGATTTTTTGTTTGTTGGGGTAGGGAAAAAAGACGCCAGGGGGGTGGTTGTTTTTCGTTGTTCCGGACGGGCTGGAATTGGTGTGTGCTCTTTGGGTGAAATATCCAGAAATCCAGTGGCAAAAAGCGGCAAGGGGGTCACTTCGCCACACATATGATCGCCGGACCGGGGCGTCCTGGTGATGTTTGGGCGATGGTACCCTTTTTGGATGGTGTCCTAGAATGAGCTGTATGTTATTTGGGTGATTGCATCCAGAACTCCAGCGGCAATGTTGGCGTTGGGGCTTGTGGAGGGTTCCTATTTGAAGCTGCCTCTTGATGTTACACTTGTTAAACCAAAAGGACACCAACTGGATGGGGTTTTGATGGACTTGGTTCCCCTGCTTTGAGACACACCCATTAAAAAAAAAAAAAAAACTACTCTAAACATGGGCATCCAACCACTTCAGTGCAGCAAATCGGTTCTTTGCCCGGAGCGCTCGCGATTGTCATGCAAGCACGTGTCTTCTTTGGTGATTGCATCGTTCTCTGAACCATGGTGATGCTCCACCCTGACTACTAGTGTCTAAACCATGATCGTTCTCTAAACCTTTGTCATCTAAACCATGAAAATGATTACTAGTGTTTTTGCTTTCGTGATTGCTCTCCTCATGGTTTGCAACCAAGGGCTTTGGCTCCCGCTCTGGCTCCCGTTGCCTGGACGGCGACATCCGGTCTCTGGGTGTCTCCACCTTGCCTGGCATAGCACCAGTTCATCTGGTGCACATGGCCCCAGTGACTGGGTTTTCTTCCACTTGCAGCGCAGGCATCTGATAAAATCTGGCTTCCACCCTGATGGCACTTCACTTGCACTGCGAATGTCCCACCTGGAATCCAGGTCTGACATCACAACCATTCATCGTGTCAGCGCTACACTGCACATATGGGACGAGGGCCGTGCCGTTACAAGCCATGGTCACGGGTTTCCTGGAGTCAAAACAATGTCTCACCTGATCAATCCGGCATCGTGCCATGTGGGTTTGTCTTAAAATAGGAGAACCCCCAAATGGTTTGTTTCCTGTTGGTTTCCCTTTAAAACTTCCCACAAAAGGGTACCCTCGAAAAAAGGATGCCAACCTGCAATCTGCAATGGTCATCGCAAAAAAAGTAAAAGGATGGTGTAATTGACCAGTATTGACCATCCCCTACCCCGTCTGGTTTACGGCCTACATTTTTCGCTCACCTGCTCGTTCCATCGGAAAATATTCCCGTCGCACGTGAGCTCCTCGCCTCGCGCCGGCTTGCGCGCGTCGGGGCTTCGAGTGCTGGGTCCTGAGGCAAGGCACATGTTACCAAATTCCCTTCCACCAACTGCTGAAAATGTGTTTTATTTACTCTCGGTTCTTAAGGGAGTCTGTGGACATCTCATGTGACAGGGGTGTCCTGGTTTGGATGTTCCTTTTGAAGGGACCCCGAAGGTCCGGTTCCAAGTGAAAACGGTGGGGCCCACCAAGCAGTTTCTGTGATTGGAGGGTGCCCGCCAAGATGTTCCTCCAGAAATACAGCGTAGCTCAGGTTTCCGAGTGTTGTTGGCCATGCTAGTGTATTGTCTGTGGCAAAGCTGGTCGACCAGCCTCAAATTTGGAAGGATCGCGAGACGCAAACATGAAATGTGACGGGAGCAGTAAAGGGACATTGCAAACCTGAAGGTGCTTGCCCATGTTGAGCCATGCAAAAAGTGAGCCGAGTGGTTTTGCCCACATCAGTGAGTTTCAAAATGCGTTCAAGGCATCCAGCAAGCACAAAGAGTTGGGATCTCCAGTAGAGAACACCATCACACCCTAGCTTTCCCCTAGCCATCCCTCTTGAGACTTGCTGAATCGCTCCTGGCCATTGAGTGGAGCGCTTCTCATTCAAGAGCTGCTGCCTCGGATCTGTTGCTTGCGATCGGTGCGACCAGTAGAAAGGTTTGAGGGAATGCAGCACCCAAAAAGTGCCCGAAAGGAAACCGCCAGTTGGAGGCTTGATAAGGGTCATTCCCATAGGTGTCCTTTGGGGTTATTTTGGATAGAAAAATAAATGAGGTTCTTGCTTGGGGGTCATTCCATGTCTCGTTCCACCGCAAGTTGGATGGATTTTCTTGGGGTCATTCCATTTCTCATTCCCTGCCTATCGCACCAGCAAGGTTTTAGCTGGGGCGTCCCTTCTCGTCCTTCTCTCCCCAGGAGACACACCGAGCCTCACCCCGATAAAATAGTCACTGGGCAGCCGACCCGGAAAACATCTGCGCGCATTCTTGGTTGCCGTAACGACCCCTCTGCAAAAAGTGAATAACTGTTTGTCGGTGCAATTCGGAAAATCCAACCTGTTTCAACCAAAAAGGCAAAGTCCAAAGATCCAACAGGAAAAAATAGACAACATTTGTTTCAGCTTAAATGGAAGAGTAAAGCATTAGCTTCGCCAAAGCAGACCAGGCACACCTCCAGATATTGTCGTTGCAGCTCTTCCAGCTGCTGCTGCGTAGTTTGCAACTGACTTTCCAGGGTCATCGGTCCAGAAGGGCACCCGTCGATCTCCTGAAACTTGAGATAGATTCTGCTAAGTGATGCTAATAACCGACAAATGTCCAGAGCTAGCAACTCTCACTTGCTAAGTGGCACAACGCCACTTTGAAGTGTTCTACCTGCTTCTTTTTCCCGCTCACCAGTCCTCAAACTCGTCGAGCTTCACTTTGTCCTCGGGTTCAGGAGGCTCTGGCAGCTCGGGCGGGGCCAGCTCTGCCTCTGGTAGCTTCGGGAGTTCCTCCGGCTGAGATGCCGTCAGTGTCTCTGGCAACGCAGCGAGCGCAGGTGCGGCCGGCGAGACAAGCGTCTGCGCAGCTACCGCAGTTTCAGGCTGCCCCTCTTGGCGAGAAGCGTCTCCAGCCTGACGAGGGAGGGATCGGCGCCGGTTCTTCACCGGAGACATGGACCGGTGGGAAAACATCGCCACCCTGGGATCCACGACGTCAATCACGAACTCCTTGGGCGGCGACACGCTGCGGCGATGGGGGCTGCGCAGCCCGGTGAGCGCGCCGCTGGTGTACAAGGCGCTCGCCTCCTGGTGCGCGCGCTCGATCCTTGGCTGGAACTAGGACCCCAGCAGAATATATATATATATAGAAATTGCTTGGTTTGTGGAAAACAAAGGGGACCCAAAAAACAAGATAAAGAAGGGGGAACCAATTCTGGGGAAGGATCCAGGTCCGCAGCTGCACGGGCGCGGAGCGCTGCGCCGCCTCAGCGGCGCTTTTCTCCAGCGCCAGCCGCTCGCGGCTGGGAGAGGTCCTGGACCGCGAGGAGGCCGCGGGCGAGGCCCGGGACACCGAGCAGCCCTCCGAGCGCGGGGTCTCCAGAAGCTCGCTGGGGCAGCTGGCCTCACTGCGGGGCTTCGAGCGGCGGCTGCTGGCTGACATGTTGCTGGCGCTTTTGGTCTTGAAGCTGGTGCCTGTGATGTTGCCGCCATTGTGAGCCACTACGATGCGTGTGGGCGGCTTCTCGGGGTTGGCTGGCTCTGACTTCCTGGCTGGCTGTGGGCCTATGTGGCCTGAGGAGTGGCCTGTCGCCTCTGCTTTGCGCGCTTTTGCATTCGGCCGCGGTTCATCTTCAGGTTGGCTGCAGGCATCTATGCTTGCGCCGCTGGCGCCTCTACCATTGCCCTTCGATCGACGGACCGGTCCTCGGCTGCACAACATCCTAACTCTCACACTCATCCGTTGCCGTCTTGAAGGATGGATGTGAATCCTCCATCTCTCTCAACAACTTGCTGGGCACCTAAACTGGCAAATCACAAATCAAGCTGCTCAGTGACGAACCAAACCAAAAGCTGGGCATCCTGACAAATGTTCTAAGTACAATTTGGGAAAACCCCCAGCAGAAAGCTCGCCCCTCCGCTGCTTTGTCCATTGCCCACACACCAGAAAAGAACAACTGAAACAAAACTGTGAACATGGGTGTCCTTTTTGAACATAATAGGTGTGTTTCCCCTGGCACATGGGCTATAAAACCCTTCTAAACCAGTGGGAACAGGTCTGTTTCTAGGACTGTGAAGCCATGATAGAAATTTCAATCGCCACATCTGCTTCCCAGTCTCGCTCGGGGCGTTGTCCTGGCGAAGCACGCCTGCGCAGCGTTCATCCAAATGGGTGCGTCATTTTGGTCGGGAACCCATGGAACCCAGGCTCAAGTGACTTCTACTGTGAACATCTTTGATTTCTTTTTAGGGTGCAACCATTCTGTTGAAGGAATGGTTGACATTTAGATGATGCCAATCCTTGGGCGTACACTGGCTATATGAACCCAACCATGGTTTTAATGGCGGCTTTGAACCCAGGGTCTCATTTCCCCTCAAGGTGATGGCTCAGGGTCTTCATCCGTAAGGGTTTCGGGGGCTCGACTGAAATCCCTTTTGGGAGCATTTCAGCGTCTGCGGCGTCTCCGGAGGCTTGTGGGTGTGGAGGGTTCCTGTGGTATTTGGGTGGCTCGTCGTTGTTTGAGTTGCACCCCCCTTTGTTGGCGGTTTTAAAGGGACGCCAAGAAGAACAACCTCAGAATTTGGCGGGGAGGGCGCCGGGCTTCGCCAAAAAAGACTGCTAAACGGACGCCTGGGGCTCATGTGACCAGCTGCAGCACGCAGGAGCTCAAAGGACCTGCACAAGCGCAACGCTCAACGTGATCTTTCGAGACTTTTTCTGAGCTTCCCCCCAATTGGTGGTTTGGAGCCGAATCGGTGGTTTGGTTTCCCATTGACCCTCTGCAAGCACCAGGCTTCAAATCCAAATCCAAACCACCAATCCAAATGACCAACTAAGGGTTACCTGATCTATAGACCACAGGTTGCTCCAGAAAAATAAGAAAATAACAAAAAACTAGAGAAACAATACGCAGAGCACTGAATCCAGAAAGCCAAAAAAGGGCTTCTAAGGTGGGATACTATTTTGCCCAGTGCCTCAAGTGCCTCAAGCAACTTCTTGGCGGGGGCGGGGGGGAAGAATCTCAGAAGCACACCGATATTGCACCACACTCATCTTAGCCGAATGATCCTCCCAAGTTCAGGGCAATCCACGGCGATTGAAATTAAGGAGCTACAAAAACAAAGTGTGATAAACACACTTCCCTTGAGCCACAAACAAAAAGTGAAAGACAAAACAAAAAACACCTCCCGCTCCCCCAACAATAACCTTGAGCCACAAAAACACACACATACAAAATCCCGTTCGCCCCCCCTTCCCCACCCCCCCCAAAAAAAAAGGGGGTCACGCGCTTGCCCCATGAGCCACACGCCGCCCGCATTTTCCCCGCCTGGTGACCTCTGCGGCGACCACCGGCTCCGGCGGCTCCACCTGCGAAGACGCTGCCCGGAGGACGGCGAAATGGGCGGGGCGCGTCGAATTTTTGGAGGCGAAAGATACCAATGCCTCAAAATGTGTTTTCATGATTGGAGTTAGGCCCAGTTCTAGAATGTATATTTTTATTGTTTGCTTCACATGCAGTCACTGGTAAAATGTAAAATGTTTCCTAAGTCTATCACAGTTTTATTTACCCTCAGTTTTTGTTTGGAGTCTATGGAATCTTCTCTCATTTTTCTCGGGGGACTTACCCTCCCGCCAATTCACCAGGGCGGTCTTGCAAAAAACCATGTTCCTTTTAAAGGGAACCCCGAACGTCAGGGTCCATGTTGATTGAGGTGGGCGGGTGCCCCTTTTTGTGTGTGTGTGTGTGTGTTTTTTCCCCCCAGAAAGCAACAGGAACACCAAAATCGGTCATCTTGGAAGGTCCGATTCCTATGAGAACCCAAATCCTTCCACATCCTCGCTGTTTTCCCCTCGGACCAATCGCGCCCAGCCGCTCGCGCCTTGATCTTGTTGGAGCTTACAGAGCGCAAGGGGTCCGCCTCCGTTCAACTCAAGGCGAGATGTTTTTGACGTGACATCCCTTCGCATATGAAACCAATACTGAATTCGTGCTGTTGCTTTTTGCGGAATCGAATCAGAAACCCGGGTTTCTCCGGTGGTGCGAACCAATTTGGTCCATCCCACGGATGGCAAATCCCCTCGCACCCACGAAATAAAACCTATCCTGAAACCATAACGTCGGTTGAAATTCTTACGTTGGCTGGAATCGCGTCAGCAACCATCGGGCTTCTGAACGGTGGTGAGATTTCTGGACTTTGCACTGCATGGTCCATGGCAACAACCGGTGTGAATCACAAGTCAAAGTTACAAGAAAGGCCTCTAGATTCACTGAGTTGCAAGGTTGCTGGCAATGGCCTCTGCCAAGCTTGCCTTAGATTTCTGCGACGCAATTGGCTGGACCCAGAGGCATTGCCTGACTCAAGCCTCGTCGCCAAGCCTCTTGCACCTCTCAATCCTTACCACTTTCTTGGCAAGTCCTCTTGGGTTCGAGCCTTTTGACCAAGGTTGACTTAAACCCAGGTTCTGGCAAAATTGACCACAAAGTACGAGCTCTGACGAACCTGAGTCCCCAGACTCGACGCGACGGCGTCTGAGGTGTCTTGGACCGCAGCTGCGTGTAACGACCTAAGCATTGACACGGCATGGTGCCGCTGCGGTTTCCTGCGGGTTCCGGAAATTCGGTTGGCCAGCTTTCAAGCGAAGCTTTGCAAGCCAATTTAAGCTGAGAATGCAGCAGTTGCAGATGGTCTGACATTCGACGGTTTCGTGGCCAGGCCACTTTCCGTGCTTGAAGCATTGTGACAGTAGGAATCCGAGTCTGACTCAAAGTGGCAACAGTAAGTTGCTGTTGGGCTCTAGGTTAGGCTTGTTTTGTTTTTGGATTCTCACGCAAAGCGCTTCATAGTCCGCAAAATTGCACTCAGCCAAGCTGAGACTCGAGCAAGGTGAGTCCTATGTAGGGCAAGCTCACCACGCAACATTTGAATGTGGGGACTGAGACAGGGAAGCCAGGCTTGCTTGTAGCAGTAAACCAAAGAGGCCAAGCCAGTGGTGGAAAAGCTGCAGTCATATCAATTTGATGGTTTTTAGCCATGTAGGCCACCATTTGAGCTATTGTCTGATGATCATCACCTACCAGTTGATCTGAAGGAAAGCTTGAGTTTCTGGTGCTTGGACTGTTTTATGTACCAGGTTGCAAGGCAAACCAGGGCGCATGCTCAAAGGCCCACATAACTGGCTCCTGAGTGCCTCATGCATGCGTCACGCAAACAGACAAGCCTGCCTGTCTGGGCAACGGGGCAGACACAAGACCTTCCGAAAGGCATTCATGTTCCGCTAGAAGGGACGTACTTTCGATGCGCAAAGGAAAGACAGGGTGGCTCAAAATTAAAGAGCCGGGGTTTACGCAGGCTCTTGTCTTTGGTTCCATTTGCCTTTTGGCCCCATTTTGGTACATGAATTCGAGGCACCGCCTCCGAAAAGCCGTCCGCTCGGCTCGGAAAGGCGGATCCAGAACCCCCCGATCGGGGGCTCGGGCTGCTGAAGCCCAGCAGGCCATTCAGCGACTTGGTCTCCGAAAGCAGCGCCCCGGCGCGATGAAAGCCCTCGCACCTTGCAAAACGAAGCCAACTGAGGCAGAGGGGCGAGCGATTGGGGCGCCCTCCCTCCCACCAGCATAGCACCTCACAGGGGGTTCCTTTAAAACTTTAAAAGGTATCTGATCTTCCAAGTACCCTCTCACAGGTGC